TAATAATCGATAGCCTCCAAGAATCAGGAAAAGTATGTTCTGTCCATATTCTGTTAAACAGATTCAAAAGATTACCAAGTCTGACAGATTTTTAATCGTGCTGAAGTGGATTTTATCTGGGCATACAGCAGTATTCCCTGAGCAAGAGATCGCTGTATGTAGTTCTATTCTGGTGAATGGCACATTGTATTCCTCATTAGATAAGGAACAGAAGTTTAAATTTTGCTTTTCTGTTTGCGCTTTATAAGCTTGAAAAATTTTTTGAATACATTCTATTGCTGGATGAAGAGGAAAATGTTTCTCCCAACAGATCAGCAATACTTTGTATTAAATATATTGCTGATTATTGTGCAATTATTTTCCAGCATGGACAAAGACTGAGAGGCATACTTCCCATTAATTTTATGGATTTTGTTCCAGACTGCTTTTGAGCTAGTGGAAGATGTTATGCTTGAAACATACTTCCTCCAAGAATCCCTGATTGATGACTGGTTCAAGAACTTGGCGGTAACTGAGTGTGCAGAAGGCATAGAAAATCTGGTGATACGTTATGACAAATAATGTTTAAATTTGTATGGCAACTATGTAGAAAAATAGCTAAGGTATCATATGTGTTGTAAAGTAAGTTTTGTTTCATTATCTTAAATAAAAATATCTAGAGAAACAAACGTTCTTTACTTTTANGAGACTAAAGAAAACAATAATTTAGAAAAAAATGTTTAATAAAATCTTAGATAATACATATGTATAACAAATTATATTATTATACAATTTTTCACATTTACTTGATTATCACATCATAATTTTAACATTGTTTCCATCTCAGCGATAATACCGTGACGTTTACGAATGATGCTTGAATTTAAAGATTGAGCATTTTTCACAGCTTCAAGAATTTTTTATTTATCTTTTATAATTGTTCTGACCGTTGATTCCGGTAGATCAAACTCCTTTGCCAATTCACAAATTTCCATTTTTGTATTAAAGTTTTTAAAAATGTTAACCTTACATTCCAAAGATAAAGTTTTTCTTTTTTTGTTTGATGCAGAAGAATCAGTTCTACTTCGTTTGGATGACACAGTAGAGTCTCTCAAGTCTCCGTAGATATAACAAACATAGAAGTAAATAACACAAAATAAATTGTAGCTATATGTCAATTTCGCATGACACGTCCGAACATGTAAGCTGAACAATAATGTGGGGGGAGTGAGTAATCAAGAGTGCGTGGCGCTCAAACAAAAGATGAATCAACAAGATTTGAAAAGCGCATAACTCCGAGTTTGCATAAGTCTATTACTGTATAATAAATCAAGAGCTTGAAAAGAAACAAATTATCAGACATCCATGAACCATACTACAAATACATCCCACAGACAGTATTGGAAAACAACACGCACAAAATGTACTATGACAGAGCCATAATCACAGATAAAACAATTTACCACAACAGACCAGATATCACACTCATTGACAAACACAATAAAATCACATACATTATAGACATATCCATTCCAAACACTCACAATGTACAAAACATATGCACTGAAAAAAATTCGGAACTCGCTCAGAAAATTAGGCATCTGTGGAGGATGGATAGGGTGCTTATTGTACCCATCATTCTCTCCTCTACAGGTGTCATACCACAAACACTAAACAAAAGCCAGGGAACATTACAGTTGAATAGAAACACATCACAGTACAGAAGGCTACTATATTGAATACATGTCACATTGCCGTTCCCTGGAGACAAACTTCCAAAAAACTTTCCAAAAGCTAAACACTCAATTTTCAGAGACCCATTTTTTGAAAAGCTTGAGAATTGGGTCCTATTTTTTGGACAAGGAGTTGATTGTGTTTAGGACTACATTCTTACCAAGTTTCATTCAAATGGGAGACCTGATCATCTAGCCCTCTCCTTGTAAGGTAGCCAAAAATGTTTGANATAATTTTAACATTGTTTCCATCTCAGTGATAATACTGTGACGTTTACGAATGATGCTTGAATTTAAAGATTGAGCATTTTTCACAGCTTCAAAAATTTTTTCTTTATCTTTTATAATTATTCTGACTGTCGATTCCAGTAGATCAAACTCCTTTGCCAATTCACAAATTTTCATTTTTGTATCGAAGTTTTGATAATGTTAACCTTACATTCCAAAGATAAAGTTTTTCTTTTCTAGTTTGATGTGGAAGAATCAGTTCTACTTTGTTTGTATGATTAAGTAGAGTCTCTCGAGTCTCAGTAGATATAACAAACACAGAAATAAATAACACAAAATAAATTGTAGCTATATGTCGATTCCACACGACACGTCTGAACATGTAAGCTGAATAATAGTGTGGGGGAAATGAGTAATCAAGAGTTGCGTGGTGCTCAAACAAAAGACGAATCGACAAGATTTGAAAATCTCATAACTCCGGGTTCTGTAAGTCTGTTACTATATAATAATCAAGAGCTTGCAAAGAAACAAATTATCAGACATCCACGAACCAAACTACAAATACATCCCACAGACAGTATTGGAAAACAGCACGCATAAAATGTGCCACGACAGAGCCATAATCATAGATAAAACAATTTACCACAACAGACAAGACATCACACTCATTGACAAACACAATAAAATCACATACATTATAGACATAGCCATTCCAAACACTCACAATGTACAAAACACGTGCACTGAAAAAAATTGGTAAGTCCACGGAACTCACTCAGAAAATTAGGCATCTGTAAAGGATGGATAGGGTGCTTATTGTACCCGTCATTCTCTCCTCTACAGGTGTCATACCACAAACACTAAATAAAAGCCTGGGAACATTACAGTTGAATAGAAACATATCACAATACAGAAGGCTACTATATTGAATACATGTCACATTGCCATTCCCAGCAGACAAACTTCCAAAAGATTATAAGTTAAACACTCAATTTTCAGAGACCCATTTTTTGAAAAGCTTGAGAATAGGGTCCTATTTTTTGGACAAGGAGTTGATTGTGTTTAGGACTACATTCTTACCAACTTTCATTCAAATGGGAGACCTGATCATCTAGCCCTCTCCTTGTAAGGTAGCCAAAAATGTTTGATAAATAAAAAATTGTTGCTGAAACAGGTTATAACTCTTTAATTATATCTTATATCTTATTCTAACTTTTCATTCCCACCCAAACTTATTTCTAGATAACTAATAGAAAGTATTGGGAAAACCTGAAAGATTTTTTAATGATATTTTTAGATTTGGAAAGGGCTTATGTTAGGGAAATTGTTTCAATGTTGTTATAAAATGTATAAATAACCACTTTAATAATAATTTTCATTGATACATATATCCACAATTTTCCACCAAAAAATTTATTGGTGGAAAATTTTGTATCAATAGAGAGGTTGCGGCCGACATTTACAACGCGAAAACGTGTACGTCGGATGTTCAGCGCCACTTTCCTGTAAGCCTAGAAGTTTGACAATGGTGTGTGGAACGTCGAACATGATTCCACTAACGTTCCAAACGCCATTATCAAACTTCTAGGCTTACAGGAAAGCGGCGCTGAACGTCCGACGTACACGTTTTCACATTAAAAACGTCGGCCGCAACCTCTCTATTGTTTTCAAATTTGGATATTTTTAGACAAAATGTGAGATAAAACAGAAATAAGAGTGTGAAGTATAAATTTAAGTAAGATTTGAGTAGAAAAATTCAAAAGTCAGCCATGAAAAAATCTCAATATATGTAGGAAAAACTACTGTCTAGGTTTATTGGTTAGTTGGTTGGTTTTTTGGTGCAAGNTCATCCTCAATCAAGTTGGGTTACTGCTATTAATTTTAGCAGTCAAAAATTCAATTTGTACATAAAGGAGAGAGAGGCTTCACTTGTTTTGTTTTTTTCCTGTCACTGTCAATGGTTATGGCATTTCTTACTGACTAACGGTTTTATTTAGTATACTAGAAGACATACAGCACAACTGTGCCACTGCAATAAAAAAAATGAATAAGTGCATTTTTATAGTGACACGATAAAAGATATCAGTGCCTCTTTTGCTTGTTAGCACCTTGTCCCTATTGAATTACAGTGGGTTTGCTGCTTGATTGGTACATAAAATGCTAAGAACTGTATGACTGACTATGTAACTGACTTAGAACTGATGCAATTTGCACATAAACAACAACTGCATTCATCCTACTATGCAGGATTTTTAAATTAAATATCCTTGGGTACTATCATGCTCTCTTCATCTGCTCCCTTCATGCTTATATTCTTGGCTGATTAATATAACTAACTTATCCGTAATAGCTAGGGTTTCCAACTGTTTCTTTTATTGGATCTTGTCTGGTGTCTGATTTCTCTTATTTTATTATTTTACTGTATCTTACTGTACGTAATTAAATGTGCCTATTAAAGCAAATTTTCAGTAAAAAATTCAAATTACTATTGAAATTTAATACTTGCCAACGCAATTGTCACAAAGACTACAATGGGAAGCCCTCGGAGGTCTAAANTAAATCTCTTTATACATATTAGTGACTTTCAGAAAGTCTAGTAGATTGTTAAGATCTGGCCTTGGGCCCAGAATCTCTGTACAATTTCCAATGTACTTCCAAATTTCCAATGCATTTCCAAAATACTGTCTATACATCCTCTCAAATATGGAGCAATTGCACAGTATATGTTTTACACTTAGAGGGCAGTTGCAACACTGGTATACTGGCTGATCATCACCCTTCAGAAGGTATTGATGAGTCAGTCGAGTATGTCCAATTCTCAAACGGGTAAGGATAACCTCAGATCTCCTATCATACTGTTTGTTATGTGTCCAATTTTCTATCATAGGTTTTGTCTTGTGTAGTTTATTGTGGACTTGGGCATTCCACAATAATATTGTCTGGTGTCTGATTTTCTCTTATTTTATTATTTTACTGTATCTTACTGTACTTAATTAAACATGCCTATAAAAGCAAATTTTCAGTAAAAAATTCAAATTACTATTGAAATTTAATACTTGCCAACACAGTTGTCACAGAGACTACAATGGGAAGCCCTCGGAGGTCTAAATATCTTGCACGTAAAACAGTATTTTAATTTGATGGTCTGTCCATTGACAATTATTTCTTTCGTCCTGGGAGGAGGACGGTATGTCGGACTGTTTGAACCATTTGAAATTTCTGAAAAAAGTAATACTTATTAAAATAATCTCCTTTAAAAATAAATGAAGATAAAATCCAAACTACAATGTCCCATTTTAATAGAATAAATATAAATATAAATAAATATTTTAGATTTATAAAAACAAAAGTTACAAGAAAAGTACCTATTAATTTTTCAATATCAGCAGCTTCTTCCGGCGAAGCTCTTGGAATGACACCCGGATCACTGAAACTCGTTCTCAGTAACGTGGCAAATACAAACAGAAATAGAGCACCGGCAACAGCTGGAAGAACGGGACTTATTCTGGCAGCAAGAAATGGACAGCTAAATGTAAAATAAACATGTTTCATTTTCATTAAACTTTATTAAACAAGCAGAACCTTTATAAAAAAACTCATTAATAATAATATTTAAACATAAACAAAAAGCATTTATAAACACACAAGATTTTTTTCCTCTAAACAAAGTAATAATATAATTTAAATTTTTTAAAATATTTTGTTTTGATAAAAGTGTAAAAATATTCCAAAATTTAAATTTAAAGTATAAATTCTATTAATAGCTATTGTAAATTATCAATACAGTAATACCTCGACTTACACTACCCCGACTTACGCGAACCCGGAGTTACGCGATTTTCAAATCTCGTCGATTCATCTTTTGTTTGAGTGCCACGCAACTCTTGATTACTCACTCCCCCCACACTATTGTTCAGCTTACATGTTTGGACGTGCCGCGCGGAATCGACACATAGCTAAATTTATTTTGTGTTATTTATTTTTGTGTTTGTTATATCTACGGAGACTTGAAAGACTCTATGTGGTGATTTCTTGTAACCGTGAATGAATCAAAAGACGAGATAAGATTAACAAAAACATTTATTAGCTTACATACATCCGACTTGGATTTTACACAAATTGTGAAATTATACCCAGACTTACGCAAATTTGACTTACGCGGTTATCGCTTGGTCCCACCTATTGCGTAAGTTCGGGGTATTACTGTATACACTTTAATTATAATAGAAATAATCACAACTATTTCTGGATTTATTTGGCCAACTTCAAAATTAACAAGAAAAGAATCAAAGTATTATTAACTGTTCTTAGTTAATATTTTGGTTCTTTTTTCTTGATTTGAATTTAAATATGTTGCATTGTTCTTAATGCTACGTATTTTTGGACAGTTTTGTCTTCAATTTTATTAAAAAAGGTTGTCTTGCTGTTAATAGCAGCTATATGCCTCTATGCCTGATCATATATGAGGGTGGTTTTCTTTCAACCTCTTTTTACTTTNGCGAAGCTCTTGGAATGACACCCGGATCACTGAAACTTGTTCTCAGTAATGTGGCAAATACAAACAGAAATAGAGCACCGGCAACAGCTGGAAGAACGGGACTTATTCTGGCAGCAAGAAATGGACAGCTAAATGTAAAATAAACATGTTTCATTTTCATTAAACTTTATTAAACAAGCAGAACCTTTATAAAAAAACTCATTAATAATAATATTTAAACATAAACAAAAAGCATTTATAAACACACAAGATTTTTTTCCTCTAAACAAAGTAATAATATAATTTAAATTTTTAAAAATATTTTGTTTTGATAAAAGTGCAAAAATATTCCAAAATTTTAAATTTAAAGTATAAATTCTATTAAAAGCTATTGTAAATTATCAATACAGTAATACCTCGACTTACACTACCCCGACTTACGCGAACCCGGAGTTACGCGATTTTCAAATCTCATCGATTCATCTTTTGTTTGAGTGCCACGCAACTCTTGATTACTCACTCCCCCCCACACTATTGTTCAGCTTACATGTTTGGACGTGCCGCGCGGAATCGACACATAGCTAAATTTATTTTGTGTTATTTATTTTTGTGTTTGTTATATCTACGGAGACTTGAAAGACTCTATGTGGTGATTTCTTGTAACCGTGAATGAATCAAAAGACGAGATAAGATTAACAAAAACATTTATTAGCTTACATACATCCGACTTGGATTTTACACAAATTGCGAAATTATACCCAGACTTACGCAAATTTGACTTACGCGGTTATCGCTTGGTCCCACCTATTGCGTAAGTTCGGGGTATTACTGTATACACTTTAATTATAATAGAAATAATCACAACTATTTCTGGATTCATTTGGCCAACTTCAAAATTAACAAGAAAAGAATCAAAGTATTATTAACTGTTCTTAGTTAATATTTTGGTTCTTTTTTCTTGATTTGAATTTAAATATGTTGCATTGTTCTTAATGCTACGTATTTTTGGACAGTTTTGTCTTCAATTTTATTAAAAAAGGTTGTCTTGCTGTTAATAGCAGCTATATGCCTCTATGCCTGATCATATATGAGGGTGGTTTTCTTTCAACCTCTGATGGTCCATAAAAAAGACAAGTGTAAATAAAATTAATTTATTACCAAAAGTTAGGTACACACATNTCTTCAATTTTATTAAAAAAGGTTGTCTTGCTGTTAATAGCAGCTATATGCCTCTATGCCTGATCATATATGAGGGTGGTTTTCTTTCAACCTCTGATGGTCCATAAAAAAGACAAGTGTAAATAAAATTAATTTATTACCAAAAGTTAGGTACACACATGGTTACTTTTCGACATAGTCATCATAAAGATTGAGGCATTTGTCATATCTGTGGAGAAGCTTTTCCATCCCCTCTTCATAGAATGTTGCCACCAGTGACTTGAGATGGGCCCTAACGTTGTTTTGAAAATCATCATTAGTCTCGAACCTCTGTCCTCCTAGCCACTTTTTCTGTTTGGGAAAGAGATGAAAGTCACTCAGCGCTAAATCGGGGCTATACACTGGGTGTTTAAAAGTGGTGAAGACTTCCACCCAGCTTGGAACTTTTTAATGTGTAAAGAATTCCACCTCTTTCCTGAACTGAAAACGTGGCTACGAGGGCAGAGGTTTGAGACTAATGATGCTCTCCAAAACAATGTTAGAGCCCATCTCAATTCACTGGTGACAGCATTCTATGAAGAAGGGATTTCAAAGCTGTCCACAGATATGATAAATCCCCTTTATATCCCCTCGCAATCTAATGATATGACAAATGCCTCAATCTTCATTTATTTTTTACAATATATATTACTATATAACATAAAAAAGCAATATTTAAAATTTAATGGCTAGGTTGTTGTTGTTTATTCATAATNCAACACAAAGAAGTGAAAAAATTTGTTGTTATTAAAAACATTAGACAATTCACTGGTGATTCTGCTGCCAAGTTTTAATATTAATAACACTAATCAACAAAAAATAAAAGTTGTCTCTTTCCCTTATCAAAACATCATTTCCAACCAAAAAGGGGTGAGAAACTAGAATATGACATCAGAACACTTTTAATTAGATCTTGGTTTCAAGATTATGTGGAACTCTAATCTATTTACTTGAGCATTTCTGTCTTTTTGTTTTTCATTTGTAGATTACTTCTGGGGCATCTCTTGTCACATTCCAACAACAGGCAGCAAGCATAGATGCATTCCACTTGCTCTGATATCTTTATTCCATCACTAAAATGTCTTCGTGGAAGCACTGTCCACATTCCTCATTCAGTGCACCACAATTGCTCGAGAAGAAGTCACGATGGGAATGTAGAAAGTGTATTTTAAGTGACAAAGTGCAACCTAATTCTTGGTATGTTGTCAGAAGTTCTTTAACAGCTACATCATAATTTTCTGCTATTCGATTACCCAAGAAGTTTTCAACAATAATTCTGAAAGTTTCCCAAGCTACTTTCTCATTTCCTTGAATAAATTTATTTAAGGTTTCATCCTTAAACAGTTCACAAATCTGTGGGCCAACAAAGATTCCTTCCTTGATCTTAGCATCACACAGATGAGGAAATTTTCTTTCTAAATACTTGGAAGCTTCTCCTTCCTGATTCATTTCACAAAATTTTTCATCAGTCCAAGTTTAACATATACAGGAGGCAGTATGATTTTATCATGGACAACTAAGGGAGTATATTGAATATTCTTGTTTCCAGGCTCCATCACTTTTTCTTATTCAGTATAAAGACATATCCCAGCAGTCTCATTCACAGAGAAAACAGCAATATTTGGTATATTCTAACTGCATTCCAAGTAAGCTAGCAACAACTTTCGGATCTCTACATATCTGCCATTGATGGTCTTCGTATTTAATTTTTTCAAGAAGCAATTTAACATTTTCATAGTTCTCCTTCATATGTACAGCATGACCTATAGGAACAGACAGTAGTGAATTTCCACTCTAAAGTAAATCTGTTTCAAACTTAACATACATAAGTCTATGAAAAGTCTCCATTATCAAAGATGTCATCAGTCATAAATAAAAGATATTATTTCTGATCTGTAAGACTAAGTTTCTGCATCCATAAATCCAGTATAAAAACTCCTGTTAATTGATATTGTACTAGTATACAAGATAAATTTTAAATGTCATCAGACCATTTACATCAATGCAGGTAACAAGTTATCCATTCAAAAAATGGAGTTAAGTCTTTTTGTTAGTTTCTATACACACACACTTTCACGTTTTCCTCCAGGAGACTCCATGATTGAAGCCTACAAGCAAGAAGTTCAGCCTTGTTTTGTGCAACTCCAGATTACAAATTAAATTATTCAGTTCATTTCGTGCAATTTTACATGGTTCACTAGACAAAGTTGATCCTGGTGTAAAATCAGGATTAATTCTTTCTCAACATGGAATGTTGAGAAAGAAATAATCACTTACAAGAAATAATCTGCTGGATCCCATATCATGAAATATGATGAAAGGCATTGACTATACTTTATTATTTAATCAACCATGGAGATTTAATGAACATGAATTACAGCAAATATGAGCTGCCCAAAGTTTCTCCTATTTTACAACCAAAATAATGTAATAGGCTGTTTTTATAAATAAAGTAATTTCACATTTCTGAGATACAAATGTCACTTCACCATACACACAACAAAATTATTCACTCTATTAACACATTTATATTGCATCTTAAAGTCTAATCCGAGAAAATAAACACCAATTAAAAAATAAACTTATCAAAATCTAGGTTTAATATATTTCTATGTATATTTATCCTGAAAATGACTCTTGATTAGATCTGAAACACAGCATATTATTTAAAAATAACAGAAGATTCAAACAATATAAATTTCTATAAACACAAAATTAATCAACCACAAACCTTTACGGTGCGAAATTAAATACAAAAATCCGGTTAAAAAATTCCCACAAACGTTTTCGAACCCACTTAGGTTCTTCTTCAGGTGAAAAAACTTAAATACTCAAAAAACATTCGATGGAATCCAAATTTGAATGAGAAACGATCAACTAATACGATGAATTCTGCCGCTG